AACTTACAGTATTTGGTTTTGGTGTTGTTTATTATGACCCATTTTAGACTAGTCTTACCTCCTGGCATGTTATTGGTTATTATCGGTTATCAGCTGTTACAACGAGAAAGTTGTTGTTTATCGGTTCATAAAATAAGTTATTGTGCATACCTACTAAAAGGTGGAAAATCTCTGTACCCTTATAACAGGTTCTGGTCGCTTTGGATCACATGAAGTAAAATCAGTAAATAATAAGAAGCCAATGATAATCTGGGCCTCTTTATGCTGATGATAAAAAATATTGAATATTACTGTAAGCTGGGTGGAACTAAAGATCAAAGCTAGAATCAGTACAAGGTTTTTCAAACTTGGAAATTTGAATTAAAAACGACTGAGGATCCAAAGCTTAAAAGAAATATCTTTATTTTAATGTCAGTTAAGCATTATAAATTGTTTAGATTGGAGCTACAATGAATRAGAACTGCCAGAAAGTGGATAATCATTCATCCTTTTCATCGCTCCAGTAAATACACGCGTCCATTAGCTTCGTTAGCCTGCTAGCTCAGCTAGCCATTTCATCACTTTCTCCTTTTCTTTTTAACTTTGTGCATCTTTGCTGGATCCAGGGAGCATTTCCTGTTTGTAAACATGTAATGACGGGAGGTTCTGCTTGGTTCGCGCCGGGTTACTGACCGATACTCCGAACTTTTCTTCCAGGTTTCCTGGTGGCAGAGTCCAGCAGCCTGCGCTGCCGGCCGAGCTCCTCCTCGTACCGCAGGATCGTCTTTTCGAACTCGGAGAAGATTTCCGTCGCAGCGGCKGTCAGTCGCTCGCTGATGAACAGTTTCAGGAGCTGAGCTGAAGACATTTTCACCACGAATCTGCTTAAAGATTCAGCAGCAGAGAACCGAAACAACCGTCTCTAGGTTGACCAGGCAGAACCGCCACCTTCTTCTTCTTCTTCTTCTTGTGTTTCTGGCGACAGAGAAACAGCGACTGTGAGCTTTAGCGCCACCTGCTGGTGGACATAAGTTTCACTGTAATGATGAGTTGCTGTCGCTTTTGTTTTATATTATGATTTTTTTATTTATAAAACAGAAGCTTTGATGGTTACAACAGACATTAAAAAAGACCTTAAGTTATATTAATAAAAACAGCCAGAGTGATAACATCATCATGATTTACCTCTTCATCAAGGTTTTCTTGATGTTTTGCTCAAAATACCACGTAAACTTTACTTAAATCATCTCGGTATCAAAATAAAGCTAACACCTGGAATATTTCATCAGGAGTGCAAGTATTAAATGCTGCTATAGTTTTAGAGAATATTGATTTTTTCAGTTTCAAAACCCTTTTTTAAAAATATTCATGGCACCAACTTAGCTCCACACTTGTGTCAAACAGAATAAATCAAAGCTTTTCCTGACATTTTTTACGTCATTCAACCCATTTGTTTTGTTTTTAACAGCTAAAATTATGGTTTTTACATTAAATCCTGTTTGGAAATAATTATTCAACAGTTTAAAWACATTTGTATAGTCTATAAAATTTATTTGATTATATTCTCCAAATTTCTACATTCTTCAAGACATTTTAGAGCAAAACCTTAAACATTTTTTACTGACCAACAAGAAGTTATTGGTTCAATATAAACTTTCTGATAACTTAAATACATTTTAATAAGATCCAAAAATAAAAATAAATAAGTTGTTACAGCTTCTAGTCTGATTAAAACAGTAACCTTCATTGCTACATGTGACTGATGCTTGCAGCTACAAGAAGRCTCTTTCATAACTTAAATGATAAATATTATACGAACTCATAAAAAAAGACAAATTGAAAGATTAGTTCTTAAACGTCTCTCCAGATGTGAACAAAATAAAACCTAGATCCTTGGGCCAAATTCRGGTTTTATTTTGAAGTTTCTCCTGAGACGTGAGTTCCTGCGGCCCTCCTGAGTGGACCTTGGTGTGAAACTTCAGGCTGGCGTTGCTGGTAAAACCTTGCCCACAGGTGCGACAGGAGAAGGGTTTCTCCCCTGTGTGGATCCTCATGTGGACCTTACAGTTCCCTCTGATGCTGAAGCGTTTRCCACAGAACCTGCAGGGGAAGGGTTTCTCTCCYGTGTGGCTCCTYGTGTGGATGGACAAGTCGTTCCGAGAGAAGAACTTCTTCCCGCAGGTGAGACACAAATGCTGCCGGGCGTCCGAGTCCTGGCCCGCGTGGATCCTCATGTGGTACCGGAGTCTCTCGGCGCGGATGAAGCTCTCCCCGCAGGTCTGGCAGGAGAAGGGTCTCTCACCTGTGTGGGTCCTCATGTGGATGGCTAAATTGTTGCTGGCCGTGTACTTTTTGTCACAGATGGGACAGCAGTGCTGCCGTTTGACACGGTCTGGGTTCTGGACCGAGTGGACCCTCATCAGGAGGGAATCCCCAGAAAAGGTACCAACGTACATGCTCTCTGGTGATCCCTCTGTATTTGACCCAGAATCCTGATCCTCAGGTTCTGCAGGTCTCAGAGACATGAGCTGATCCTGGTCTGGTTCTGGTTCTTCGTATAAAGACTCCGTAAAGGGATCAGCCTCCTGCTTCAGGTGGAGCTGATCTTCCTCCTGATTGGTGCAGAGCTCCTGCTCTTCTTCCTCTTTGATCTGTGGAGGTTTTAGTTCCTCCTGGTCCCACCTGGACCTTCTCTCCTGGTCTGTGTTGGGGACCGGTCTCTGCTGGAGGTCTGAGAGGACAAAATGACCAAACACAGAAAMATAATCAGATTATTTTTAAATGGATCAGGCCACACTTACAGGACTCAGACTGGACCGGGTTTTGGGGTTTATGGAGCAGGGAACCTGTTAATAGACGGCTCCTAACAGGAGTCTACAAACARCATGTTGAAAGCGCTCCAGGAAATACACGCCCCCCATCATTAGCAGTTAGCTTAGCTAGCCTCCTGAATTCACTGTTCGGTTTTAACTTAATGCATTTCTGTTGGCTTCCCGGTCCGTTTATTGTTTATAAACACGTTAAACTGGTTCACTCAGRCTAACTCAGAGCTACACACCAACTCTGCTCGGGTTTTCTGCAGGTTTCCAGCAGAGATCCAGCAGTCTGCGCTGACGCTCCATCTCTTCTTCGTACCGCAGGATGGTTTTTTCAAACTCGGAGAAGATTTCTGCAGCAGCAGCTGTCAGCCTCCCGCAAATAAACTCTCTCAGATGATGAACTGAAGACATCTTAACAAAGAAACCTGATTACATTTGGTTAAGATGAGCCGATGAACCGAAAAATATTCTTCTTCACCTTATTTTAGCKTAATGGCGACTTGAAACAGGCAGAGCTTCAGCGCCATCAAGTGGYCACTTCCGGTAATACGTCACTTTGACTCATGAATGAATAAAAACAGTCTAAACTAGTCATGGGTTTTTACGATGTAAAAACAAATGTGCATTGCCATGTAGCATGTCATTGCAGCATGGCTTTGCCTGCAGCATTGGACTTGCAGAATGAACTTTGACCAAGTTCAAATGTGTTTTCTATACCAGCTTGTGCCTTGTCACATGAGCAGGTCTTTGTAATTAAGGTAAAATTGTGTGACAATAT